GGCGAGGGGGCGTGAGTGCTGCCCGCGCGGTGCCGCGCGCCATCAGGCGGGCTCTCCCCCCCACCCCCCGCGCAGCCGCTCGGGAGAGTGGGCGCTGGGGGCGGTCGGGCGGCCCGGCCCGGGAATCGGAGGAGGCGGGCCGCCTGCTCGGCTCCCGGTCCAAGTTGGGGCGGGGAGGAAGGCGGGGGCGTCCGTGAGCACCTTTTCAGAGGTGCTGCGTGCGGGCTGGAAGGCTGCCTAATGTCTGAGTGGGGCGAGCGGACGGTGGCGGGGCCAAAGCGACGGGGAGACGGGTGGCCTTTGGGCAGTGGCCCCGCTGGGGTCGGGAGACCCGCAGGGACCGGAGACCCGCCGGGATCGACCCCAAATCACGGCCCCACCCCCACGCCCCGGGCGGCGGCGTGACAGTTGGTACCTCCTGGTCAGATCACGGTCGGCCAGGCGCCCAGGGTTTCAGGATCCTCCCAGCCCAGCCCCCTGGCCTGGGCCACTCCGTGCCCCTCTACGACATAGCTGGCGGGACCCCACTCCCCGAGGAGCACGCTCCCCGCCGTAGGACGCAGAACAGCCTCTAGGTAGGAGGAGGCTCCGCGATCCCGCTGGGCTGCCCCCGCTGGGTGGGGGTGTTTAGGGGTGAGGCCTGGAGGGACCGTGGGCGCAGCCTGGAGCTGGACAGTCGCTCCGGGACGCGCGGCTGCCCCCGAGAGCGAGGGGGGTCCCCGCGATTCCGAGGGGGCTTGTCAAGGGCAGAGCAGCGAGTCGGGTCGCAGCGTCTGGTGGGCCGATGCTCTGCCCTGGTCCAGCTAACGGATTCAGTCTGGCGCGTTCTGGTTAACGCTTGCTTCCCTCTTGGGAGCCGCGAGTAAAAATCGGGACAAGGGTTGACGTGGCTGGAGGGAGTGGAGAACAGCCGTGCAGGTGCCGTTCAGATGTTTCTTTTCACCTTCAGACAGTGCAGACTTCTGCTGTACACGCTTATGAAACCACGAGTGAAGGCTGCTGTCTGAAAGGGAAGTTTATGTTCTGCCATGGGGCCTGCCTACTATTTCAAGCTCCCCGGACATTAACCTTCCTGGACCTTTAGAGCTGTTTGGACAGGTTATTTTGCTTTCAGATTTGGGGGTGTTTCTGGTTGGCTGCCTGGATATGGAAGTGCGAAGTGGCTGTCATGGTGCGCTGTGAACTCCCCACGCTTCCTGGCTCTGGATGTTGAACCTTCGTGGGGGGACTGAGTGGGCAGAAAGAGAGGAGTGGGCTGGTGATGTAGCCTAGGGCCGCCCAGACTTAACAGGGTTGGTGGCTCTTTTGGCCTGTGCTGGAGGGTGTTTCATTGGTCCGGGTGTAAGATGCCCAAGGGAGAAGCCAGGTGTGTGTGTGTGTGGGGGGGAGGGGGTTGGGCCCCTGCGTGGTCAGTGCTCCAAGGGAAGCCCAGGGATGTTTGGTGATTCAGCAGGTGGCAGCCTTCCAGCTCCGAAGCCATGCCTCGTCCAAGCCAGCCAGAAAGCCGTGGCTGCAGCTTGTGCCTGCTGCTGGAGGCGCCAGCTTTGGGGGAACCTCCAGGAGCTAGCTGCCTCCCGCCCACAGCAGCTCACTTTTCATATCGGGCTTTCTGTTTAGGTCCGGAGGCCCTGGGCTATTGGGTTTCTTTACGGCTTCGCTTAAACGGTGTAGCATGTTTTTGAGTGTCTCCAGTTCTGTGACCTGCTAGGTAGCAGGAGGTGGCAGCTGCCACCACACACAGTTTAAGCAGTTAGTTTTTCTTCAGAAAAGGATAGCAATATGCAAAGCAGAGAACTCGTCTTTTCCTTTATTTCTGCTTCAGAAGAAATTTACATATTTAGTAAAATAGTTAGGTGTATTTCTGCAACTCTTCAGTGCTGTTAGCCAGCTATTTCAAATATCAGAAAGCATTTAAAAAATTAATTCAAGGGGTGGATTATACTGACATTAAAGGGACACCGTTATTTTAAAGTGTCTTACTCATTGGAGGATCCCTAGCATCTTGCCCAGTGTCTACCTTGTACTCAGTAAATCCTTATTCAGCTATAATTTAAAAATGTTGTCATAACAGAAGCTTGTCAGTAAATTTTGACACTTAAATAACCTTGTATGTTTTCTTAAGTCAGGATTGCCTGTGTTGACCATAAACATTCAATTTTACCTTAAAAAGTCAACTCTTCCTCCCCCCCCCCCCCGCCCCCAATTTTCAAATTGTGGCAGATCCTGTACCTCAGCTGGAAAAACGTGAGCATGCTTTGCTAACATATCTCATGAAAATCTAAAGGATTCTTACATATAACTGTCATACTTAAAAAAAACCACACAAAACAACCGCTGAAAAGTATACATGCTGCCTATCAAATAGACTTTATTAACAAAACTTTATATAAAATATTTCAGGAAAACCCTAGAATTTCCAAACCTTTACCATCCAATGAAAACTGCTACTGTGGAAAAGACAAAATAATGTTTTGGGAATAAAAATTCAGGGATTGTTTGCACAGGGGAGTGATCTCCCCCTCTTCGGGGGAAGTGCGAGTGTTTGGCCCGCTCATTCTTCTGTATTTTACCTTCGTTATTCTCCTTCCTCTAGTTGTTTAGCTATTTCTTCTTCCCCTAAAGACATACTTTCCTGGCATGGGCTTGCTTACTTACAGCTGCTGCCAGAAGGATCTGTTGTATTTTCTCACACAAACTCAATCAGTGGGGATTTTTCTCTTCTTATTGTCTCATACACTTTCCCACTACTTTGTATGGTGCACTGTTTGATGGCCTTTGGAAAAAGCTGTGGCCAGTGTGCCTTTGTGGGGGCACGACTGATTATAGAAAGCTTTTTCTTTGCCCTTTTTTGGATGGTAGCTATAGTCACAGCAATCTCGTATGGAAGACCTGTATGGCACCCCTAGTCTTAAGGATTTTGGAGTTTCCGATAAAGGCTGTTGGTCAGGAATATAAATGGTCATTTATCACCGCCTATCACATTCCAGGAATTTGGGCTGTGAAGTTTGTTACTTTAGTAAGCTGCATAGTCACCAGAGAATCATATTTTGGATTAGCCCATTTGGATGTGGGAGTTGGGAAGCAGTGTTGGCTGTGGGTGAGGGGACAGTGAAGAAAGGGGAAGGGCTAATGGGGACAGGAAGATGGCTTGGTTTTCTAACTGTGACTTCTGTTTTAGTAAAAAGGAATTGAGTGGCTCATCAACAAGTGTGGCTCAGTCTCCACTGGAGTGCTCTGATCCCCTCCCCAGTCCTCTAGCTCCACAAATAACACACCGCACACAGACACACACAGCTCTACAGACACACACTGAAGAGACACAGGCACAGAGCTTGACACACATCCCTTTTGCCAAAAGCCAAGAACTCCAGATTCTTTTTAAAATACTAATATGGCAAAGAGGGAAAATTCAGGGCTGAAATCACCTTAAGCTTGTATTTCAAAAAGATCCCCCTTTCTTCTCTCCGGCAAGCTGGTCTGCCCCCTTCGCCTGCAGAGCCCTGGGGCTTTCACTGAAGTGAGTAACCATTGCATGTCAGTGCAGGAGAGTGGGCATTTAGGGATAGCTTTGGTGTTTGTTTTTGCTTAAACAACAGATATGAATTTCCTCACAATTATAGAGGCTGGAATCCCAAGATCTAGGTGCCAGTAGAGTTGATTCCTCCTGAGGCCCCTCTCCTGGGCTTGCAGATGGCCACCTTCTTGCTGTGCCCTCACATGGCCTTTCCTCTGTGTGCCTGAGTCCCTGTATGTCTTCCTCTTATAGGAAAAAGAGTCCTATTGGGTTAGGTTCACCCATGTGCCCTCATTTGACCTTAATTCCAAATACAGTCATATCCTAAGGTGGAGAGGCTGGGTGGAGAAAGCCAGACTTGTTGGGTTATGAAATTCATGGAAATGAAGGAGAGGGACATTTGGGGGCTGGGAGAATGAAGGGATTGGATTAATACTGATTTAACGATTACCTGGCACTGTATGTGCCATTGCCGACTAGAATGTCTACCTGGATGTCCCAGGCAGTGATAATCAGTAAGTCCCAAGTTGAACTCACTCCCCCCTTCTGTTGAAGGGTTGGTTAACATCCTCAGGTTTTGGCACAAGATTCTCTCCCTGTGCAATACTCCTTTCCACTCCCATTCCCCTCTCAGAGGAGCCTACAGCGGTTAAGAGCTTCTCATTCTGTGTTGGTTATGTTCGTGGGTATATCTATGTCTTTGCTAAAGATGTCACATTATTTTGTGCATGTTTTCAATTTACATTAAGTGGTACTGTTCTATAGATTTCATTCGGTTTCTTTTTCATTCATCATTAAACCTTTTTATTACAGAAGATTTCAGACATTCATTAAAGTCGAAAGAGTTTCATTCAACATTTTATTTGTGAGATCTAGGTTTACCTAGTGCATTGCTGTGACGGCTGCGTGTTACGGTCGGCCTGCTGTGCACTCACCAGCTTTACCCACCCATTTCCCTAGTGATGGACACTTAGCTCACCTCCACGCCTGCTACTGGGAGCAAAGCTGTGATGAAATTTACTGTAGCAGTTTCTTAATGATGCTTGTGAGAATATCTCTAGGCTAGTGGTTCTCAAAGTGGTCCACACCCAGCGGCAGCAGCATCACCTGGGAACT